ACATTTTCTTCTACTCGTCGTTGTAGTCGCCTCAGTTTTAGCCTCATCGATCGGTGCTCCGCTCCGGTTGACTTCTCGCCGAACTACCCAGTTTTTTGGAGCTGGCGTTTTTGTCACTGCCCGTGTTTGGTGCTTGTTTCGCACCACCACCACCAGCAAACAGCATGGTCATTTGGGGCTGCATTCCGGTGATTTGCTTGTTGTTGCCTATTGTTTCAGTTTCAGATAGTCCTGTGCCTGGAACGATTCCGGCGATGTAGCAATAGCTGAGGGCGAAGGAGTGGGAGGGGTCCCTTCCAGGTACTCTTTGCTCCAATCTTGCGTGTTTACTTCGGCTGATGTACAGCGGTAATTCACTCCGTCCACACGTTTTGGAAATGCAGTCGCCTTTTTCACGTTGTAAAGTGAATCGGCACGCGGATCCGTTTCCTCCATAAATGATGGAGTCTGGAAAAATACTTCAGTGAATTTGATTTTCACATTTTTTGGGCCTTTCACGGAAGTTTTTACTTTTCCAGCTATTTCCGTGTCCCTCCGCCTTTCGTAGAGAGTGAATATGGACGAGGCTTTGACAGAGCGTTGACTCATTTGCGGTCACTGAAAACGAAGAACCACAAATCACTTCAAATTTGTTTCTCCTCACGAAGGCGCACATTATCGGTTAATTTTTCCAGCTTTTTTGCAGCTCTTTCCGCTAAAATTTACCGAATTCTCGGGAAGTTTTTAACCTCTTTCTTAAATTATCGGTTCACCAGTTAAGTTTCACCTGGGAGATAAACCGATTCATTACTGCACAAGATTCAAGCATTCCCAGGAGTAATTCTAGGAAATCGTGGCTGGGTTTCATGCATAACGTTCCAGTGGCCTCTAGCCTCGCGCCTCAATTCGAACGGCCTGGCATAACTGTCGCGACATCTGAGTAGTTCACAGTAACTGCCCCGGCATCCGAGTACTTCGTTGGACCTTCGCACCGATTTTCCTGGGCGATATAGATAATTTCAGTATGAAAAGATGCAAAAGTAGCTGTATTTTTGCCAGAAAAATAATAGCCGTGAATCACGACTATCCGTCTGGGAACTCAGGGTCCTGAATTGTGTTCATGCTACGCCTTAGGGCACATCAAAAATATTTG